TAGAGTTTTGGCTCTCTATGCTAATCGGATGTCATTATGATAGATTGAATCGTTGTTATGTAAATTTTTCACTACCTTACATATTTTCTGAATACTTTGTCATTACCACTGATATCATGAATACAAAATTCAATCAAGCTGAATATCAACTTAATAGTTTAATACCAATGTTACTTGAAAGGACTCATATGACGTGTTTACATATTGATAAAAATGAAAAGTTGAGTTCATCATTGATTACTTTGTTGACACAAGAAAATTATCAAGGTAAGTTGCTCCTATCGTCTTTTATCAACAGTTATCTTTATATAACGTAGAATATTTTCTAAATATAGGGCATACAATTAGTCTTAAGCCTCGTAGCTTTTATCAATTAGAACAAAATGAAAACTATTTGATATCATTTGATCAATTTGAACTGCTACCAACCATTCAAAATCGTCTAAGTAAATACATCAGAATTTCTTTTAGTTTTATCCACTAATATCAGATAGAGTAATTTTTCTTCAAAAGAATATTACGCTAGACAACAGTCTTTGAAAGAGAAGAAAGAGATTTGTCTTTTTATTGATTCTAAACAAGTGAAAAAATCATTATGGATTTTGTTGATTTGTAATTCTATTTTCATTCTAAAATATAAATGAATTCTCTAGGAGAAGAACTTATTAGCACCACTATGACTTGGCTTAGTTGGATGCCATATCTACGATCAGTGAATGTCGATACACAAATGCTATTGAAACTTGTGCCAACAATAAATCTTAATGGTACAATCAATCGATTTTCATCTCTTCAAGAACTTATTGTACGTCAGCTAGATGATATTCCTCTAAATGAAGATACTTTAACTGTGATTGTTCGATTGGGTGTGTCATCCTCATTGCGTAACATTCATATTAAACAGTACAAAGTATTGAATTCTCAATCAATCGATGACAATAATTTTCTTGCCAATGTTTGTCAAATTTGTTGTAACATGCATAAATTAGAAACAATGACAATTGAATTTGCAAATCCACATTCATTATTTGATAGCAAAATATTAGAAGAACTTGCTGGTATTGAAAAGAAAAATTGTCAATTTGAATGTATCTATGTTTCTGATAATATTATTCAATTTTGGCTTGAAAAATAGTTCACTATAGTTCTGTTATTGTTTATACTCATGAATCTCATTGTTTTCATTTGTTAAATAAAACAATCCAGATACAAAGTTATTGCATAAAAAAAAATAAACTTAAATCTATAAATTATTTTTATGTAGTAATAATTTTTTTTCTTTATTGCTTTTCAATATGTGTCTGTGAGAAATATTATACACCAAATTGCATTCTACGTTAACTTTCTTCTACCTGAAATTACTAAAACAAGCTTATGATTGTTTGTCTTTGCCAGTTCATCATTTTATAAGAACTGTGTTTCTTTAAATAAAACGAAAGTGATTATGTACACTCAAATACGTATAATCAATTAGTTAGTAAATATTAAGTTATACTATAGTTTTATATGTACTTGATTATTAATATAAATAGAATGTTTTAACTTATTAAGAATTTTACTTTATTAAATTCAAATAAAGTACAAATCAAATATTACGATTACACACGTACAGTAAAAAAAGTTAACTCAAATAACAATCAACTAATTCAGAAACACTTCTAGTGCTTCCTCTCTTAGGTTTTTAAGGAAATGGTTGAATTTGTTGATTATTTCCAGTACATTGAACGAAAATTATGTTATGTAATACTTTTCTTCTCTATTAATTGTACTTTTTTTTCTGTTCATCAAATTATAGAACTAAAGATTCTATTTCTGTCTGATTTAATTGGCTTACAAAATCAGAAATTAAAAAACATTAAGAACTAATTAGCTTGGAGTCCGAGAAGGTGCTCCTTATTAAAATAAATTGATTAAGCTTCACTTTAATCATTCATCTATTGAGCTTTATTAGTACTTTTACAAATCAAATGAAATGAAGTGATAATTTTTGGAATGAAAGGGGGAGGTTTAATATAATTCCATTTATAATACTAAATAAATATTATTACATCATTAAAAAGGTCTATTACATTCATTCATAGCATCTATTATAAAAAGTCTATCACACTGTTATACTTAAATCGAAGTACTTTATTCATGTTCAAGGATACGCTCCTACTAGTCTACTAGTGTTGATCTTTGATTTAACACTCAAAGATGAATAAGTAGCTTATCGTAGGGTAGTTCCACCGGAAATCTACCACGTTATACAAAAGTATGAGCAGCCAAGCTGAAACTTTCAGCAATTGAAGGTCTTATTACTCTAAGACTTTTGGCAAAAAATTCCTATGAATTTTCAATTGGCACCGTAGCTTTTTGAAACCAAAAAATATCACCTTTCGACCTATAATGATCATTGGTATGACTTTTCATCATTTTGGGGTATTGACTTTTTCTATAACTACAAACCATAATTGGAATTATTTATATACGGGGGGGAAAAAAATAATGATAGTCGGCATTTTAGATATATTGTCACTATAAATGGGCACTTTTAAAAAAGTAATGGCATATTCTGAAAGCCCTTGGAGTTTTCTATCATTCTATGTATTTAGGTTATAGTTTGTACCTTTATGTCATTAAGATAAATCGAGTACAATGAAGGCACTGTAACAAATTTGAAAGATGTTATTCGTTTCGTTACTGGCAAATGGAGAGGCACATATACCTTTCGCCTTGTTGGCTCAATGTTTATTCGATTGTGCACTACATCCAAATACCAGTATTTTACATACAACACGAGCTTATATACGAGAGAGAACAAGAAAAAGGAAACGGTACGACAAACAAGAAGAGAGGGACACAGAATGATACAGAACGAGAAAAAGAATATAGAGAAAAAGATAGTACGTTGCTCAACTAGGACTAAGGGGTGTTGTACAAGAGGACATCCTTTGTCTGATGCAACATCGATTTGCCTTGTTACCCTAGGGTAACGTGTACTTGTTGGCGCAGGCACCCTCATCATCAGATTCTCCAAGACTTGATATCTTTTGTGTCGTCAAAATAAGTTTTTGCAGTTTTTTATCGTTATAGAAGAGGGATGTCATAATATCCTAAAGTTGAGTATCGAGATTCATAGCATCAGTAACATCATATAAGTTTCAATGTTCCAATGGATATCTACCCCATGAAACTTGAAAATTTTGAATACTTTTGATGTAACGGGATGAATACACCAAAATTTTCACATATCTCAAAAAGTTGAAAATTTTGAGTACTTTTGGTGTAATGAGATGGATACGCCAATGAAGATACCCACCTCTTGAAAATTGAAAATTTTGAATACTTTTGGTGTAACGAGATGTTTGTTAGAGTACTTCTAAATAGACGCTAAAACTTAATGATGTTCTAGTGAAGTTGAATATAAAGTATGTTTTATTACGAGATATCTTGCGGATGGTAATGTCAATGGGTTCAGATGAAACCATGCAAGAATAAAACCGTTGAACATAAGTCATATTTAAATCGGTTCAAAGGTTTCGCGCTTGATGGGTGTGGGTGGGTGTGAGAGAAGAAGTTCCACACCCACACCCACACCCATCGTCAAATTAAATTGATGTTGTGTAACTTTAATATACGACTTAAAGCTAAAAAGTAATGCAAAACTTTTGATGTCTACTGTATATTAGTAATACGTCATAATGTATCATTTTTACGTATAAAAATGTCATTTTTTTTCTTTTCCTCTCTACCTAGATGGTGGTACTGAACATTAGATAAAAAAAAAGAGAAAACTACTAAACACAGAAAATAAATTGACCGTACGTTGATTTTCGTGTCGTTAATAATGAATTTTTCAATAGATTATAAACTATTGATCGAAGAGCAATGTTAACATTTTATTATTGGATAGAAGTATTTTACAGTTTATTATATTAAAGATAAACAAGAAGAAAAAGAAAACAAGTAATTTATGATAATAATTGTCTTTAATAGAGATTTGTTGCATTAAAAAAAATGAAAATTAAAGCCAGAGACGAAATCTTGATATTTCAATATGACTCCGACTAAGAGGAAAGTGAGTTTGGACCATTAAACGATAGGGATCAATTTTTTCGTAATCAATGTTGCCATAAATATCGGGAAAAATAAATTGTTTTAATTCTTTGATCAGTTGACCGAGATCTTGTTCAAAGACGGTCACATGTTTAGCTAGAAAAAAGAAACGAATTCTATTATTAATTTATTTTCTCTTATAAAATCGTTGTATTTGTACGTATATATACCAATCGATTTGGGTGTTCTTAGAGACTTGAGCCATCGTGGAATATTAACCGCATAGGATCCTATTCTATAATCTGGTCGAACTTGAATAAAGAATAAAACAATGAAATAATATGAATTCATAAAGTATACGAGAGTTCAAATAGAAAATAGTTTTGTTTGTTTTCTATTGAGCAGAAAAGATCTTTTTTTTTAACTTGTTTTTCTAATTTAAAAACTAATCATTTTCATGTTTGTGTTTAAGCAAGCAATTTTTATCACCAATTTAGTTTTTTTTAATAAATAGTCGAATTAGGTATAAACTTTCTTATAGTGTTTATTAAAGAAAATTGAGTATTCAAAGTAAATGTATGAGAAAAAAAGATTGTTTATTCTTGACTCTCCCAGTAAACTCTACATATAAAAATCCGTAATGAGTTCCGACGAATTTGATAAAATCCGCGAAGAATTCTCAAAATTTAAAGAAAAAGTTAGAAATTCTTTGAAAGTTCCTAGTAACTTTCCAAATAAGCCTTTCAAAGAATTTTCTAAGGATTTCTCAACTTTTTACTTTAGCTTTTGAGGATTTCTCGATGATTTCAACAATCTATCAGAACTCTCTAGAGATTCTTATAGGTTGAGTAAATTCGAGTCATTTTCTTGTTTGTTCAATTTGGACAGAAGAATAAATATGTTGTCAATGAGACTTTCATCTTGTCATTATCTTCTAATCTCTAATCACTTCGTTTTTGACCAAAAGATTTTGAAAAGATTATAAATTTAATTAATAAATTGGAATAAAACTTTAGTTAATCTTTTATTTTTCTTATTTCTATAAAACTACACAAAAATAATCAATATTATTAAAAGAATAAACACATGTTTGTCTATCTCGTTTCTCTGTACACTTAAAATAAATATCGAAAATATGAATAGGAACAAATGAGAGAAATATTTGTATAGAAAATTTCATATATCCAATACATTTAACAATTTTAAAACAAATGATTGTTGAATTTTTCTATAATTCGTTCATATTAATGCATAAGATAGGATATCTTTTATCAAAATCAATTATTCAAAAACAAATCAACTAGAAACATTTTTTGTTGTTTAACGATATTCGAAAAGAAAATATAAGTTTTCAAATCATTCGATATTACTTCTCTAATGTCTTGTCTATTTTATATAATTATAAATCTTGTTTAATAAAACAAGACAATATATACGAATTGAATTGATATAGAAGACAAAAACGACGAGTACTTTATTTATTCAAGCTGAACTATGCATCATTATAAGAATATCTGTTTGATTAAAAAACGAACAAAATAATATTCTCAATAAACGAAAACAAAAAATCGAATGATATTTATTATAGATTAGTAAGAGATTTTATTGTGATTAGTTTTGTTTATTTAAAACAAAAAAACTTACTAGATGTCCAAGGAAAATCATCTGGTCGCCAAAGACGTAATGTTTCTAAATTCGGCATATATGTGCTAAGAAAAGGCACAAGTTGTTTGCCGATACGAATTACTTCATTTGTACTTTTCTGACAACTTGGAAGACAAAATTCAGCATACTGAACAGTACTCAATGCATTTGTTCTTAGTTCATTGGATGCCTAAATAGAAAATGAAATAAAAAATCATACTAATTTAATTCGTCAAATCAAAGTCAGTCTATTATAATAATAGAAAAACATTGTTTGTTTTATCTCGTCAATGATCTTTGACATTGACGGATATAGAAAGA